TGGGAAACTGACTGATATTTACACTGATTCTTTTAAGAAGTGGGGCGGGATGGCTGGCTGGCTTGCTTTCTTTCTTTCTTTCTTTCTTTCTTTCTTTCTTTCTTTCTTTCTTCTTCAATGAACATGTATTACTTTTATAATAAGGGGGAAAAAAACCTCTTCCTTTAAAAAATATGTACTCCAAGAGAGGAGATCCCTAAGTCATTCTTTAGTGTCATTATTTGGATCAATTATTAGCACACCATACTTCCGTGGGCAATTAACATCTTAAATTGCCTCTAAAAAAAAGTCCACAACTATAGTCTTGGTGAATTCATTTAAACAATGACACTGAGATCGTAGCTTTAGCTTTAATTAGAATCCCTTTGACCTTAAAGTAAAGATGGGAAGATACTGACTTCTTCAAGCCATCTGCTGAATTACAAAGCATCCTAGAGCAGTAAAACAACTGTAATTCCTGTGGGATTGTGGATGAAAGCTGGCAGCCACTACTTTTGTGAATGAGTGCTTGGTTCAGCTCCTCTGAACCCCCTGGGTGGCCCCTGGGCTCTGCTTTCTGATTTTATAGTTTTCAAGGGTTGATTTTATGAGGATACTCCTTCCTTGGCCTCAGAAACAATCTGGTCCTCACCAAGATTTTCTTCTAACTTTACAGCTGCACATTTCATACCATCTGCTGCTTCCAGAAAACCTCCATTAAGAGCAGAGATTGAGAAATGCTTCTTTTGTGGCATCTTCCACGGCTCCTTCCGAAAACATGTGAATGTACACACACCATATATATCACATACTACACACATACACACTGAACCCATTCTACCTACACATACACACACCACATTCCACATAGACAGGTGCACTCCCCTTGTACATCACATGTACCACATACACATCCCATATGTATCACAAACACCACACACACACACAATAGTACACCTGGAAACATCCCGTGGGCACCAAACCTGTCAAGAGGAGTGAGCTAAGACAGGGTGCTGATGTAATATTTAAATAGGGCTTCCAAAACATGTTAAAACCTCATTTCTCCAATATCAAGTTTTTCAAAGTAAAAATTAATTTAAAGCAACCATTTTGTCCAGATAATAAAGCTAACACTGCTACTCCTTTACAAAAATATAAAACGATCAGGTTAATTAAAATTCTCTCCTATTCTTGAATTTTGAATAAATTTATTGTTATTGTGCCTATTCAATACAATTCAGAATTTAAATAAGAATAAAATATTCACAAAGAGATATCATTTGCCCTAAAGCCAAATGGCTTGGAAAGAGTAGCTCTAAATGCAGTAATTTGCAAAATGAACTGAATAGAGCATAATACTAATTTCATCCAAAGCTGACAAGGACAGAGAGCAACAGGAAGGTAGAGTGATAGGAAAACCAGGTATCGATTATTTTTTTACAACTCCCACATGACCTGCAGGTTTTTTTTTTTTTTTAATTAAGCTGTCAGAATCTTAGACTCTTGGTTTTCAAAATCAGGACAGACACATAAAAGCTTTAATTATTTAGCATTTCTCTAGAGAAAAGAATCTGTATTATTAAACAACCTTTGGGTCACACTCATTCACACAGTGACTATCTTAAAAATTTACTTGTAGGCGTTATGATTTATATCTCCTGAGGCGCATCTTGAAAACACCTTTGCAGGAGAACCAAAGCTGAGCTCTCTGCACACTACAGTTCCCAGAACAAACCAAAAGGGGTTCGTTGACTTAAAACCCAGTGAGCCTTGCAGCCTTCTCCACACTGGTGTCTGCCCCTGGGGTCACTTTGGTGACACTAAACTGCTGTTACTCCTGACCTCCCAGAGCACCTGGGGATTGATCTGAGCAGTAACCTAACCTAGAGACAATGAGGAATGTAAGTTAAAACCCACGTGGTGACTACAGTTGATAACACTGTATGTATAATTCACTTTTGCTAAGAGTAGAACTTATATGGTCTCATCAAAAAATAAAAAAAAATTAAAAAGTGTGTGTGTGTGTGTGTGTGTTTGTGTGTGTGTGTAGAGTGATGAATGGAATTAACTAGACGGGAGAAATCCTTTTACAGTGTATATGTATGGCAAATAATCACAAAGGTAAACTTTAAATATTTTACAATCTTGCCAATTGTACTTCAACAAAGCTTAAAAATACACACCCAAACCCTGACTCACCTGGGAGGGAAGAGAGGCTGAGGGCTGGCATAAATGACTTTACTTAAAAGAACAAACAAGTGTCATTTTGCTTCTTATTACCAAGATAAAACATCCACTGTGGAAATTTTAGAAAACTGATGAGTAAAAGGGAAACAAAGATCATCACACTGTAATTTTCTGCCAAAAGATAACCACCACGGGCCTGTGTAATATTTGTCTAATCCTATTTTTTTCCCTTTACATACAAACATATTAGGTTGCCTTAACTGTATATCTTAGGCAAAGGGCATTTACTATACCATCATCTATTTTACTAAAAATGAATAATAGGGGCACCTGGGTGGCTCAGTCTGTTAAGTGTCTGCCTTCAGCTCAGGTCATGATCTCAGGGTCCTGGGATCGAGCCCCACGTCGGGCTCCCTGCTCAGTGGGGAGCCTGCTTCTCCCTCTCCCTCTGCTTCTCTCTCCTGCTTGTGCTCTCTCTCTCTCTCAAATAAATAAATAAAATCTTTTAAATAAATAAATAATTTTGTAAAGAAGTGGTAAGGAAAGTTTACGGATCTGGAAATACTCTAAGATACCCAGAATTATGTTCCTATGATATAAAAAGAAATAAAACTCTAAAGGACTATATATTTAAATGAACTAGAACAGAATCTACTACCTTTCCCAGAGGGAAAAAAAATCGTATTTACAGACAGTGTTATATTAAAAGAACATTACATATTTCACATCAAAGGGGACCTTCACACATGAGAACTCCAAGTTAGGAGCAACTAAACCCTGTGAGTTATTCTGAGTGCCTGCAATTTACAATATAAAATGCTGATCCCATGTAAGTTTCAAACGTACAGGGTTTTTTTTTTAACCCCACTCAAAATTTAGTATGGCTTATAATTTTTATGTAACTCAATATCAAAAACAGATTAGTTTCATATAAAATACTAGAACTGAAAACTGAAATGAATCTTAACACTGGTGATGCAGCATGTTCATAAGCATCTCTGTGCTAATTTTCTGCTTGAAGCTGCTGAGGGAACAATAATGTAGGGTCAAGTAAGCCCAGGAAAGGGGGAGCTAATGGAAATGCAGTTCATAAGCCATGGTGACCACAGAAGAGGGGCCATTATAATAAGCCCAGCCCACAGCAAGATTTGCCTAGGGCTAGAAACACACAGAGAACACACACAAAAAATGGCATGGTCTCTGTGTCATCTGTTTATCCATTTACATCACATGGTTTCCACAAGCTAAGAACTGATGAATAGTTTTTATTTTTCTTGTGTGTATGTGAGAACATTTAGGTTCTACTCTTAGCAAATGTCAATTATACAATACAACGTTATCAACTATAGTCACCATGTGATACATTAGATCCTCAGATCTTATTTATCTTATAGCTTAAAGCTTGTACCCTTTTACTAACCTCTCCCTGTTTCCCCCACCATCCCCCCAGCCCCTGGCAGCCACTTTTTTACTCTGTTTCTATGAGTTTAACTTTTTTTCTTATTTTTTTTAGATTCCACATATAAGTGATACCACGCAGTTTTTGTCTTTCTGTGTCTGGTTTATTTCACTCAGCACAATGCCCTCAAGGTTCATCCATGTTGTTGCAAATGTCAAGATTTCCTTCTTTCTCGTGGCTGAGTAATAGTCATTCATATACATATAATATTCATTCATGTATATAAACAATACAGGTTTGAACTGCATGGGTCCACTGATATGAGGATTTTCTTCAATAAATAACAGTTCAGTACTATAAATGTATTTTCTCTTCCTTATGATCTTAACATTTTCTTTTCTCTAGCTTACTTTAAGAATACATTATGTAATACATACAGCATACAAAATATGTGTTAATCAACTGTTCATGTTATCAGTAATGCTTCCAGTCAACAGTAGGCTATTAATAGTTAAGTTTTGGGGGAGTCAAAAGTTATATGGAAATTTCTTTTTTTTAAGATTTATTTATTTATAGTTTGAAAAGATTTATTTATTTTAGAGAGAGAGAGAGCACGAGCAAGAGGGGCATAGGGAGAGGGAGAGAGAATTTCAAGCAGACTCCACGCAGAGTGTAGAGCCTAACACAGGGCTCGATCTCATGACCCTGAGATCATGACCTGAACTGAAACCAAGAGTCAGACACTTCACCAACTGCACCACCCAGGCGCCACTTATGTGGAAATTTCTGACTATATGAGAGGTCAGTGCCCCTCACCACTGTGCTGTTCAAGGGTCAACTATATATACCACCTCTTTATTCATTCATCCAACAACTTAGGTTGTTTCCATACCTTAGCTACTACAATGAACATAGGGGTGCATATATCTCTTTGATATCCTATTTTCATTTCCTTTGGATACATACCCAGAAGTGGGATTGCTGGATCATACGGCAGTCCTATTTTTAATTTTTTGAGGAAGCTCCATACTGTTTTCTAGCAGCTGCACCAATTTACATTTCCACCAACAGTGCACAGGGGTTCCCTTTTTGCCACATTCTTGCCAACACTTGTTATCTCGTATCTTTCTGATAACAGCCATTCTAACAGGTGTGAGGTGATATCTCATTGAGGTTTTGATTTGCATTTTCCTGATGATGAGTGATGTTGGGCACCATTTCATGTACCTGTTGGCCAGCCGTATGTCTTCTCTAAAAACATGTCTATTCAGTTCCTCTGCCCATTTTTCAATCAGATTGTTTTTTGCTATTGAGTTATAGGAGTTCTTTATATATTTTGGGTATCGGCTATATGATTCGTAAATATTCCTTCTCATTCCTTAGATTGCCTTTTCTTTTTAGTGTGATGTAGTCCTACTTACTTATTTTTGCTTTTGGTGTCAAATTTAAAAAAAAACATGGCCAAGATCAATGTCGAGACACTTACGACCTATGTTTTCCTCTGGGTGTTTTAGGTCTCGGTCTTACTTTCAAGGCTTTAATTCCTTTTGAGTTGATTTTCGTGCTTGGTGTAAGACGTCTAGTTTCATTCTCTTGCATGTGGCAGTCCAGTGTTCCCAGCACCATTTACTGAAGACACTGTCCTTTCCCCACTGCCTCATTTGTTGAAAACTGACCATAAATGGGAGGGTTTATTTCCGGGTTCCCTATGCTGTTCCACTGATCTGTGTATGCACTGTTCTGCCAGCACCATGCTGTTGTGGTTATGATAGCTTTGCGGTATAGCTTGAAATCAGGAGTATTTTTACTTACTCCTTAATCTTCCAAATAACCTGGCTTCTATAAAAGCTTTCTTTCATATTAATACATTTGTGCGAATTGAATCAATGATAGAAGATAAACCAAGAAAGAGCACAATACGCTTTTAAAATAAGGGCATCCAACAGGAAAGCATTTCACTTGTCCACAACAGTATCTACTGACATGAGCAGAGAGTATGCCTGAAGTTGTTTTGCTGATCCTTGGGTCAGAAATGGAATCAAAGCTAAGGCATCCTACCAATAACTCAAAATAAACGCAACAGAAAGTAAACATTTACCGAGTATCTGCACAGGGATCAGCACTGGTTCAGGGCCTTGGAAGATCCAATGAAATGTCTGCTCAAATGGAGACTGCAGGTCCAAAATGGAGTCTCTTGGGCCAAGCCTCACATCAGCAAACCAAGACTTAAAACCTAACTTAATTGCATATTCAACTCCCCAGGAATGTAATCTTTAACCAGGCAACCTGGAATTAGCTGGTCAGCACTAGTGAGACACTGCACCCGAGAACCCCTACCATTCCCCTTAGGAGGGCGACTTTGCCAGAAACAATGCATTCTTTGCTAATAATTTCGTGTTTCCACCCCTTCCCATTTCTACAGCTCAGCAGAGCTCCTTTCCATTGCCAGATGGGATGCTGCCCAACTCACAAATTGTTGAATAAAGCCAATGCAATCTTTAAATTCACCAACATGGTACCCTTGCCCTCAGGATCAAGAATTCGGGGGTGGCCCAAAACTGCTAGAACTCATACAGGAATTCAGTAAAGTAGCAGGATATAAAATCATTGCACAGAAATCAGTGGCATTCCTATACACCAACAACAAGACAGAAGAGAGACAAATCAAGGAGTCTATCCCATTTACAATTGCACCCAAAACCATTAGATACCTAGGAATAAATCTAACCAAAGAGGCAAAGGATCTGTACTCAGAAAACTATAAAATACTCATGAAAGAAATTGAAGAAGACACAAAGAAATGGAAAAACGTTCCATGCTCATGGATTGGGAGAATCAACATTGTGAAGATGTCAATGCTACCTAGAGCAATCTACACATTCAATGCAATCCCCATCAAAATACCATCCACTTTTTTCAAAGAAATGGAACAAATAATCTTAAAATTTGTATGGAACCAGAAGAGACCCAGAATAGCCAGAGGAATACTGAAAAAGAAAAGCAAAGCTGGCGGCATCACAATTCCGGACTTGCAGCTCTATTACAAAGCTGTCATCATCAAGACAGTTTGGTACTGGCACAAAAACAGACACATAGATCAATGGAACAGAATCGAGAGCCCAGAAATGGACCCTCAACTCTATGGTCAACTTATTTTTGACAAAGCAGGAAAGAATGTCCAATGGCAAAAAGACAGTCTCTTCAACAAATGGTGTTGGGAAAATTGGACAGCCACATGCAGAAGAATGAAACTGGACCATTTCCTTACAGCACACACAAAAATAGACTCCAAATGGTTGAAAGACCTAAACGTGAGACAGGAGTCCATCAAAATCCTAAAGGAGAACACAGGTAGCAACCTATTCGACCTTAGCCGCAGCAACTTCTTCCTAGAAACATCGCCAAAGGCACGGGAAGCCCGGGCAAAAATGAACTATTGGGATTTCATCAAGATAAAAAGCTTTTGCACAGCAAAAGAAACAGTCCACAAAACCAAAAGACAACCGACAGAATGGGAGAAGATATTTGCAAATGACATATCAGATAAAGGGCTAGTATCCAAAATCTATAAAGAACTTATCAAACTCAACACCCAAAGAACAAATAATCCAATCAAGAAATGGGCAGAAGACATGAACAGACATTTCTCCAAAGAAGACATCCAAATGGCCAACAGGCACATGAAAAAGTGCTCAACATCGCTCGGCATCAGGGAAATCCAAATCAAAACCTCAATGAGATACCACCTCACACCCGTCAGAATGGCTAAAATTAACAAGTCAGGGAATGACAGATGTTGGCGGGGATGTGGAGAAAGGGGAACCCTCCTACACTGTTGGTGGGAATGCAAGCTGGTGCAACCCCTCTGGAAAACAGTATGGAGGTTCCTCAAACAGTTGAAATTAGAGCTACCGTTCGATCCAGCAATTGCACTACTGGGTATTTACCCCAAAGATACAAATGTAGGGACCCGAAGGGGTACGTGTACCCCAATGTTTATAGCAGCAATGTCCACAACAGCCAAACTGTGGAAAGAGCCAAGATGCCCATCGACAGATGAATGGATAAAGAAGATGTGGTATATATACACAATGGAATATTATGCAGCCATCAAAAGGAATGAGATCTTGCCATTTGCAACGACGTGGATGGAACTGGAGGGTGTTATGCTGAGTGAAATAAGTCAATCAGAGAAAGACATGTATCACATGACCTCACTGATATGAGGAATTCTTAATCTCAGGAAACAAACTGAGTGTTACTGGAGTGGTTGGGGGTGGGAGGGATGGGATGGCTGGGTGATAGACATTGGGGAGGGTATGTGCTACGGTGAGCGCTGTGAATTGTGCAAGACTGTTGAATCACAGATCTGTACTTCTGAAACAAATAACGCAACATATTTTAAGAAAAAAGAAAAAGGAGAAGATAACAGGAGAGGAAGAAAAGGGGAGTATGTCAGAGGGGGAGACGAACCATGAGAGATGATGGACTCTGAAAAACAAACTGAGGGTTCTAGAGGGGAGGGGGGGAGGGGGATGGGTTAGCCTGGTGATGGGTATTGAGGAGGGCACGTTCTGCATGGAGCACTGGGTGTTATGAACAAACAATGAATCAATGAACACTGCACCAAAAACTAATGATGTAATATATGGTGATTAACATAACAATAAAAAATTTAAAAAATAAAAATAAAATATAAAAAAAAAAAAAGAATTCGGGGGTGGGGGCAGAGGGTAGAAGTGCAGCAAAAACTGTCAATTTAAAAACTTGCAAAAACAAAAAACAAAAACCTTCCAAGCCAAACTAGTGGAGCAGCAGTGAAGCCTTGAAACACAAAAACAAAACCAAGCCATCTGTATTCTGGCCACGTGCGGCAAAGAGCAGTGCACACATCTACAGACAGATAGGACCCAGTGCCTGTGACCTATGTTTTTTCCCAAAAATTCAAAGCAGTTTGAAAAATTAAAAAAAAATTCTCTTAAGAAACTGGGATAATAACGTCCATGGGATCTTAGCGAGGGCCAATACCACCCACAAGAAATGCTTTAACCACACAAACATGCGTTTAAATAGGCCTCTGGGACGGGGACTCTCAGAGCAGCTAGAAGAAAATGAGGAACACAATGGGTCAATTGAGGATAAACTGTTCCTGTCATAAAAGGACTCTGATAAGCAAAGGTTCCTCACTGACCCTTTAGGTAACAGGCTGCCTAATAGATTTCAAACATTTTTCCCAGGGACCAGGCTCACACAGAGGCCACTCCTCCTGCCCCTTCTCCCTCCCTCCCTCCCTCCCTCCTCGGACACTCTCCTGGAGGGGAGCCAAATAGGTTCAGGGAGCCACAGCACAACTGCCCTGAGCTCAAGCTTCTCTCCAGGATTCACCAGCAAAGAGCAAGAGACTCAAGGTTGCCCTGGTGAAGCCACACAGCCCGGCCAGAAACGGGTTGCTCGTGGACAGGACTGTAGCCGCTTAATATCCCAACACTGCCCTGGTGAGGCTCTCTCCCCTGAATCTGCTCCCCAAAGACCCCCCTACTTTATGGACAACTTTCTTCCTTTATTTGATATAAAGACATACACACACCCATATACGTACATCTACGTACGCATAGATGCCTATGAATACACACAGAGATACAAAATTTTACAATGTGCATGCGCATACATATGGACACACACACATATATTTTTTTAAACCCAGGCGTTAATCACATTATATTTTTCTTTTGCTCCCAGCTGCTTTTAACGCTTCCCTCTTACCCCATTCAGGCAGTACAGATATTCCACAGCCTTTGGGCTATGCCTAGTCAACAGTGGAAATAAAAGTAACCTATGGTTCAAATGTAGTAGCATCTACCACTGATTTTGAAATGCATCACAAATGAGCTGGAGGATGGGTAGACATGTGACAGGTAAAACAAAGCAAAATGTTACCAATTATAGAATGTGAAGGGTGGGCATGTCGGTGTTCACTGAAAAGTTCTTCTCAACTATTGACTTCTCCGTATATGTGAAAAGTTTCAGGACACGTTAGAAGAAAAGAAAAAGAGGGTAGTAAAGGAGAGATGAGATTTTTTTTTTTTCTCTGAAAGCATCAGGAATTACAGATAGATAACTTTAAAACATATACACCAAATACAGGTGTATTCAAGAGTTTAGACATTCTTTCACTGACTAGCATTTCCGGATTCTTACAGGGGGTATGACAAGGGCTACCAAAATAAAAACTGTTACATTAGAATATGAATGGAATTAATTTAACGTTAACAAGATCAGCATAGGATAAAGATACAGCACGCCTCCCCACCCACTGATTTAAACCATGGACTGGCAAACTTTTACTGTAAAGGCAGAAACGAAATATTTTCACCTTTCAGGGCTCCAGGTTCCGTCACAACCATTCAACTCTGCTCCCATAATGTGAACGCAGCCAGAGACCAACCATAAACAAATGAGTGTGGCTGTGTTCCAATAAAACTTTATTTATAGTAACTGAAATTTGAATCTCATAGAATTTTTACATGTCACAAAATATTATTGCTCTTTTGACTTTTTTCCCAATCACTGAAAAACGTAAAATCCATTCTGAGCACGTGGGCTGTACAGAAAAGGCCATGGGCCAGACTTGGCCTGAGCGTCATACTCTGTGACCCCTGATGTCAACACGGGACCCTGACCCTGAGTGGCACCAGTGAGTCGTAGTACAGAGAGGATCAAAGGTGTCATGAATCACAATTTGGCCAAAAGGGAGCAAGCCGACCTCGGCACTGCAGCCTGTTGAGGAAGGCGCTGGTAATGAGGATGGTGCCTCACAAAAGGAAAACCAAGAGCCAGCCCTGAAAAGTCTCAGCATTACCGATAAGAGCTGGTGAGCACAAATGCCCACCCCGGGGGCACACAGGAGGAAAACTGCATCAGTAAGACAGTCTGTGCGGATTTCTCTGAGCTGATGGTCATCTCTCAGACACCCGGCCCTTCCGACGTCCCACAGTGCCCAGTATTCCCATACGCCGTAGGGAACAAGATAGAGCTGAACTTCCAAGCAACTAGTCTTTCAAATTATATGCAATATACGTCCCTGTATGGAATCCTGAGGGGTTTCCTGCCCTCTGCTGGGGAGGGGTGTCTTTCTGAGCCTTCAGCTGAAGGGGCAGGCTTCTGCATCTGTCTCCGGTCGTGGGTCACTCCTCAGAGGAGGTCTGCGCTGGTCTGAAGCAGAGGTGAACGGTGCTCACCCCAGCCTCCCCACTCACCACTGACAAAAGCCTTCAGACAGTCTCACCTCGTGAGTCTTCCTTCATGCGTTTTCCCCACTTACAAAGCAATCCATGCTCAATGAAGAAAATGCAGGAAAGCCCACAGAAAAAAAAAGCAGGCCTGTTTTCAAATGTTGTTTCTTTTTGAATGACTGGCCAGAGGCTGGTGGCTCCACCCAGCTACTGGCAGTGGGCTGAGGGGCCCAGCTTTCCACTCAGAGGGGACCCTGCACAAGAGGGGTGCTCATAAGCAAGCCCAGATCCATCGTAGTGTAGAAATGCAAAGCACACTGAACCTAACCCACTGCATGCAACGTGAAAAGATCAGACCATTCTTTTCCCTAAATAATGTTTTTGACAAAGTCTCTCTCCGTCTCTTTCCCTCTCTTCCCTATCCCCACTCTTCCCATAAATGCATACCTCCCTCCCCACCCCTCCCCCACCCCACCCCACCCCCACCCGCCCGGCTGTCTCCCTCTGTTTCTGGCTCTCCTATCTCCCTCATTCTCCTCTGTCTTTGAAAGAGAGGGATGGAAGGATGGATGGATGGATAGGCAACTTTTTTTTTTTTTAAGATTTTATTTATTTAACAGAGAGAGACACACAGAGAGAGAAGGAACACGAGCAGGGGGAGTGGGAGAGGGAGAAGCAGGCTTCCCGCGGAGCAGGGAGCCCGATGCGGGGCTCGATCCCAGGACCCTGGGATCATGACCTGAGCTGAAGGCGGACCCTTAACAACTGAGCCACCTGGGCGCCCCAGATAGATAACTTTAAAACATATCCGTGGCTCCACTTCACTTTCCAAAGGCTAAGCATTTCTTAAATTCATTACTCTCTATTTTTAAAAGGCCTGATGCTAATCCTTGGCACACAGCTGCTCCAAACCCCCTGGGGAAGGAAATTACTTAAAAACCTCCTTTGAAGGGGAGACCTGCATGAATATGAAGAGGTCACTGGTCTGGCCCCAATGACTACTTTGTTCCAGGGATGTTGACCTTTAAAAGGGCCCCTGGGGGATTTCCTTGGATGTTTGTTCCCACCTGCCACGAGAAGGCTTCCCTCTGCACATCCTTTTCACGTGGCACCACCCAAACCCAGCTGAATAAAGGGAAACTGGCTCATTCAGTCTGTCCCCAAATGTCAGACAGAATTCATATGAAGGTTGGCTGAAAAATTTAAGAGCATGTTTATCTTTTTAAAGAGCCAATTTGCTATTCCTCAGACAGAGGAGAATCATTCTAGAATTTCTGAAGCAGCACAGTAGATGAAAGAACTTTTCATCCATTAATTATTAAAACAAAAATGGAGGGCACGCAGCTGAGCAGAATACAGACTTTCTCTTCCAATTTCAAAATGGATACAGAAAAGTAGACATTATTTGCCCCTCAGAGGGACTGAGATTGGTAACGTGCTTCATATAAATTGTACAAACTTGAAATCAACTTGCACTTATAAAATCAAGCTACCTTGTGAAGGACCTGAATGCATAAACTGATGATATAACCCGGGCTGGCAACAGTGTCTCTGGGGCTGATGTCCAAAGTTACAAGAGCTCTCCAGTGCTTCCTCTGGACTTCTGACACTGCCTGAAAGTGACAGGCTCAGATGCTCAGCTTACTTCTCAACATTCTGGAAAATGCTATGTTGCTATGGTGTAAGTTGTGCTAAATGTAATAATCACAACAGAACATGAGAAAAACCATATAGGTTCTTGTTGGGACAAAGAGAGGGGGCAAGATTAGGCTGTGCTTTTTAATTCCAAATACCAGACAACAGTGGGGAGAGAAGGGGGGAGCTTCAAAATTAAGAAGAGCACTGCAGAAAAGAAGTGATGTAGATTTGGGCGCCTGGGTAGCTCAGCTGGTTAAGCAACTGCCTTCGGCTCAGGTCATGATCCTGGAGTCCCGGGATAGCATCGCATGAGTCCCGCATCTGCTTCTCCCTCTGACCCTCCCCCCTCTCATGCTCTCTCTCTCTCATTCTCTCTCTCAAATAAATAAATAAAATCTTAAAAAAAAAAGAAGTGATGTAGATTCTCTGATGTAACGTCCACAGATGTCTAAGGCAGTTCCCTTGATCTTTGCTTTGCAGATGAGGAAGCAGGCTTCTGAGAAGTTAGGGAGCCATCAGATACTCCCCCACACCAACATTTCTCATGAAACCCTAAATTTAAAGGGCCAGAGATGATTTACAGCAGAAGACCAGATCCCAGCAGGACAGAGCGAGCCCGACGTGCACTGAGGGCCAGGTGACCAGGCGCTCTCCTCCTGGGCTCTCCCGGGCCAGCCTGAGCCCGATGGAACTGGAGGCTTCTTTGCTCCAGGCAGCCTCAAGGCAGTCAGTTGTGCCCGCAGGAAAAGGGATGTAGGCTGCAGTCCATGTGCTGTGGAACTCCCTCTCCCTCCAATGCAACCTGCGCCTTCCCTCCAGCTTTGCAGTCAAGAAATGAAAGCAAACTAATAACCCAAGAACTCCGCTACGCATCCCCTCATTATGCACACGTTCACTCCCTAACTTTCTATGGAGCACCTACTGTGTGTGAGGCACCGTTCCAGGTACCTGGGATAAAACAGACAGAGATCTCTGATGAAAGAGCTGCACAATAAATAATGCCCTTTACTTTTTAAAAAACAAGATAGTTAGATTATGTTAGTAGCGTGTTAGGAAGTGCTAAGTGCTGGGGAAAAGTAGGGCAGAAAATGGGGTATAATGCGGGGTGAGAGCTGATTTTTAGAAGGCATTCACTGAGAAAGTGACATTTGAGCAAAGGATGAAAGAGGTGAGGGTTGGTGTGTAGCTCTCTGCGGGACAAGTACACCAGGAAGAAGGAACAGACAATGTATTCTAACAATAGGCTTCTAACTGGACAAAGCATTGATATCTTAGGCATGCTGAAGTTCTCGAAAATCTGACTAACTTAGATGAGTGTCCAAGCCAGGATGTGACACTGCATGTCAGTTATCAGAGCTACCAGCACGGGCTCTGTACAAACATGGCTTGATGTATCCACGTACACAATTCAAACTGTCTACAAGTGTACGAAATAATGCGGGGATGCATCGGTGCCATGGGGACTCTTCTGAAATCTGACTTTCCATTTCCAAGTCACTAGGAACGTCGTGGCAAAGGAGGAGTAATGATTTCGCAGTCTGGTTGGCAAATGATCACTCGCAGATAAGATCTTGGCCAAAAGACCCCGTTCCATTCTCGGATTTTTCTCCTGGACTCACATGCGTGCTTCAAAGGAGAAGTGTTTTAAATGTCACTTGCAAGACAAAGAGGATATGAAATAACCACCTGAGGGAAGTCCCACTAACGCAGCCAGTAACGGTTCAAAAGGAAGCTCCGTGTCTGGTCACACAAACATTAGGTTTGTGTTTTGATATATCTGCTAATGGAAGACAGTATTGCATCTACATAATGGGCTTTTAAAAGTCTTTAGGGACCTTTTGCCAGATCGCCTTCCTTACAGGGCTGGATTCGGAGAAGTTTCCCCCGAATCTCACGCTGGCAGGAGCATGCTCATCTATACTCCGCTAGGGCGGCTCAGCCAGCTGAGGCTTGTCCTGCAACAGAGCACGATCCCCCTTGGACGCGCGGTGAGCAATGAGGGTGGCTCAGCAACCCCGAGGTTCTGGACTCACAGACCCAGCAGATGCAGAGAGCAACCATATGCTGGGATCTGAGAGGGTGAGATCAGCGTCAGAGACCCAAGAGGCCCATCCTTTCCGAGGCCCTCATCCTAACATAGAGAAACTTAAGTACACACGGTGCTGAAGACGACACTGTCAAGGTCAAAATCCAAGTTTCCTCAGTGCCACTCTTGGGATGTTCTTCCAGCCACTGGGAGACAGAGGGTCACTCGAAATGACACAACCTGTCAGTGAAGTATGCAGACATCAGTTCTCCTCCCTGGAGTGTGATACCCAGGATACCAGGCTTTGCTACAGAATTCTATTTCTATCAGCTAAATAATTATAGCCAACCAACAAAATCTTTGGCCCTCTACCCTTCAGGTGTCCACTTCCCCAGGCTGCCTGAGACGATGTCCTCAGGGGCTTCCTTCCATTCCCTCCTCCTTGGCCCCACGGCGAAGAGCCTTCCCCTCTTCTAAAGGAAAGAAATTGTGTCAAACTATCCTCCAACTGTCTTTGAAGTAGAAAACAGCATATGGAGATGGTTTAGTTTGGGTTCCGAGTTTTCAGAGAAATGCTTTTATAACATTTCTAATTGGCCCCACATCAAAGGAGGTATGTCACTCACGAGAGAGAGCAGGAGAGAATAATGGAGGATGGCTGAGGTGGTGAGGTGTCAACCAGTTGGGGGCACGGTGACGTCACTACTACCACCATCATTTTAAAGGACCATTTAGTGCACATCACAGAGGGTGTCTTGGGGGATGCTGCCCAAAAAACTTGGCCCTGAAGAAAGATACCAAACATAATTGGAAGAGGGGCACCTGTTTGTCATTCACCCAAAAGCTTTCTCTAGAAAGCTTCCCACCCACTAACAGACAGAAACAGTCAAAATACTAAAAATATACTGGAAAACCCTGAATGTCCTTCAGGGACATGGATAAACTATGGCATATTCATCCAAGAGAATACTGCTCAATGATAAAAAGGGCAGAACTGACATCTCCACAACACAGATGAATCTCAAATGCACTACATAAGCCAGACTTACAAGGCACATATGCTATGCATGACTCCATTCCTAGATCATTCTCAAAAAGGAGACTACAGGAACAGAAAATTGATGAGTGGTTGCCACGCGCTGGGGGAAGCAGGGTGCTAGCTACAAGGGGCAGAAGAGAATTTGGGGAGATAAGGGAACCACTGTACATTCTGACTGTGCTGGAGGTCACATTTGTTAAAACTAGAATGGCACAGTAACAAGTGTAATGTCACTGCATGCAAATTATACCTGGGAGAAAGGCAAAAAAAAAAAAAATCTAGTAATCAGGAAAAAAAAAGCAAAACTCAACAAAGAATTTAAATATTTAATGTTTCCAGGTAAATCTCATTTTAATATTTCAAAACAAACGTACATCTCTCTGTACAGCTATGGCTCAACTGACTGGTCATGTCCTTCAGAACAACCGACTTCTCACCCCGTGGTGAGAGCAACAGGGACAGGGAATTAAGCTCCTCAAACATTCAAGCTTCCAGGGGTGCCAGGCACAGTGGGGAGAGAGCTGGGCAATGAAGGGAGCAGCCACAGTACCAGACCTTGGAGAGCTCTTGGGGGGAGGAGATGAAAACACACTGAAAAGGAGGTAGACCAGAAGTCCCCAACCTAGACCCAGCTGCCTTGACAAAAGAACTATTTCTGCTTTATTTTGGAACTTGGCATTTTGTCATTCATTAATTCAACTCATTTCTGAGCTAAGCACAGTGAAAAATAGAGATGCAGAAAGTCCTAGAACTCGCCGCCCACACAGAAAGACATAGTCTTCCACCCCAATTGCTTCCATAGGGCACCCACAGGCTCCCATGGGATAAAAGGCAACCCCAGGGAAACCACAGGACGTACCAGTCACACTGTTTGGGATGTGAATGGATTGTGACTGGTGTCCCCTGGAATTCTTTGACAAGGTGCTTCTATCAGGGCACCCACCCCTGCTTCACCTCAGGCTTCTGAGAAAGATGCACGTTCAAGGCTTCCCAACCTTTCCTACCCCAACTCATGGAACACACAGAAATGAAGTCTCTGCTGCCTGCCGCCTGAGATAACCAGCCTGGGGGCTCAGATGCCCCAGTCCCGCCAGCTACCCTGAGGGTGAGGGGCTCAGCAGTCCAGCACACCTGGAATGCAAGGGTGCTCCTTGATGCTCCTCTTGAGGAGCCTGGGAGAACAGATCCAGAAGCATACTTGCTAGTGGGTCTAGAGACTCAGGCCAACTGGCTTCTAGGGTCAGGGCACCTCTGGCCTTTTTGGAGCCTTTGGGTGAATGACAAACAGGTGCCCCTCTTCCAGGCAGAGGCCCCTGAGCTTCAGCTAGATTTCAGCCCTGATGCCCGCCCCTTCCTAGCCTCCTTTAGAGCCTCTGGCAGGACACGAAGTGCTCGTCCTTGCCTGAGAGACGGGAAGTTCTGTCCTGCGTGCTACACAGATCCTATCCAACTGTGTCAGCAGGGATACAAATAGACTGTCTTTCAGCAAGTTCAGACGAAGTACTGACGAGTGAGTCTGTGATTCTATTTGAGGTTAGCAAACATAAATACCCAGGAGCTCGAATTTTCCTAGAATGAGATTTCCTCAATCTGGGTCAGGCTTATTTCTGAAGCCCCCCGCCATTCACATGGACTACTCAAAGTGGCTTCTTTGCTGTTTCCCGATAGCTACCGAGGTGCCAGACACCATCTCCCCCCCCACCACCCTGCCCCATCGAATACGGTTTGTTCTCAAACCATGTTTGATGACCAAATGACAATCAAAGGGCTCACTATCTGGAAAAAAAATATTTGGAATGATACCTCATCCTTTACACCCAAATGAGTTCCAGATGGATCACGTATTTAAATTTAAGTAACACACCACAAAAGTACTACAAGAAACCATACAGACTATTTATTAATAAACTCAAAGTAGGAAAGGACTTTCTAACTGTGACACAAAACCCGCAAAAGATGAAAGAAACAATTTGATAAATTTGACATGTTAAAAAAAAAACATCTGTTTGAGATGATAAAAAAGTTCTGGAGCTGGACAGTGGGATGGATGCACAACCAGTGTGAATGTACTTAATGATCTGCACACTTAAAAGTGGTTAAAATGGAAAATGTTATTTTATGTAATTTTACCATAATACAAAAATGTATCCATGGGAGGAAAAACACTAGAAACAAAGTCAAAAGACAAATGACAGCCCAGAAAAAAGACGTACAAATCATGTCATAGACATAAAGCTATTTTTTTTTGAGGGAGGGAGAGGGATGGAGGGAGGGGGGAGAGGGAGAGCACAGAGCGCAATCTGGGGCTCGATCTCACGACCCTGAGATCCCAACCTGAACTGAAACCAAGAGTCGACGCTTAACCAACTGAGCCATCCAGGCACCATTGAAAGCTATTTTCCGTATATAAAGGGCCCCTACAAATTAACAGAGGTCTACAAACCTATCAAAAAATGAGCAAATAGTATGAATTGAAAGTTCACAGCAAACACAAACAATTCTTAAACACCTGAAAAGAAGCTTACATTCCTTCATATCTAAAAATTAATCAAACCATGCTCAACAAATGGCAAGAACCCAACAGTTGTGGGAGACAGTACGGAAATCGGCTCTTAATTGTGGGTAGCAGGGTAGTTTAAAAGAACAACCTGGCAATATCCACCAGAATGACAAGGGCTTATAACCTTGGACCCAGGAATTCCACTTTCAGGAACTTATCCTACAGATAACTATAACATTTTACACAAAGGTATTCATTGCAGCATTATTTGTAATACAAAAATTAGGAAAGAACCCTAAAAGTTCGTAGATTGGGAGACAGACAAATTATGGTAAACCCACAGAACAGAAAAGAGGCATTCCTTTTTGTATAGTAACAGAATGATTTGAGATATGTTGTGAGGTTAAAAAAAAAAAAAAGTGCAGAACAAAGTGAACAGCATGATACCATTTCAGTGAAACACATGAAAATATTTATATGTTTATTGACTTTAATATGCAGAGACTGCATCTGGATGGACCCCAAAAAGCCGAGCTGCTGGTGCCTGGAAGACAGACAGACGTACACTACCTCTCCCCGCCTACCCTCTCAGACTTCCGTGCCATGTGAATGTACCAGCCATTCCAGAAGACATAAAGGGGCTCTAACTCTCTTGTTCCCCATAACTGGTCATCCCCACTGGCTACCGATGACTAACGGAAGTCACCACCCTCCTAGAAGAGAAGGCCTTCCCTTTCCTAGAAGATGGGGAAGAAAAATGTCAGGTTACATGAGCTGGAAGAAAGGACAGGGGAGATGCTATTCTCTCTCTTCCTGTTTACATCACGCTGCTCGAGCGCTGACATCCCACCAGAGGGCAGGACTTTGTCAGTCCGTTCCCACCACGGACACACTCTCAGTTCCTGGACCCCCTTCTTCCCTGAGTTTTCTCATTGCCCACCAAGGACAATGGGGTACAAACTGGAATCTCATGAACTGGCTCCCAGTCCCAGCTTGGAAACCTCACTCACTCAAGCTACCAATACTTCCTGAGTCTCTAACCAGACATTGAGCACCATCCTGGGGACTGAGAAAGACAGGCGAGAACATCCTTCTCAGATTTTAACAATGGAATAGGGGAAGTGTTCCAGCCTGCCTTTGCCAGCTCACGAGAGCGCGCCCTGTTCATTTTGCAGGAATCTGGAGAGCTGCTTGTTAAACACAGCCACTGTTATAATAATATAGAATCAGAGTCCCAATCCCTGCAAGGACACCGAAAGCTAAAAAGACAGCACAACTGCAACTGGCAGTGAAGTTGAAAAACGGTTGAGTTTAATGAATATAATTTGTCCAAGGATGAGAGAGAGTCCAACAGGAGATCACATGTCAGATTTAGTGGTGATAAATTTATTGGGAAAATAATTCGCAGACAGGGAAACTCCATTTGTCAAAACACTGTGGACCATAGGTCAGCCAACGCAAAAATCAAGGAAAGCATTCCGTGAGATTCAACTGGCTATACGGAATTTACAATACACCATGC